GCTCTTCCCTCCTCACCTGCTGCCTCCAATAACTAAGTCCATCTCTCCCCCACTTTCTCCTCCTCCATAAGAATTGCCAATTTCACCTTTCTACTAACCTATGCATATACACATTCACCCACACTACACACCCATAACTTCATAAATTATAGTCTATATTCTTATTATCATTTGTAAGCTTCGGATTGTAACAACTCGCGTTAAATATACTGTGTTTTGAAAATCAAGCGACCTAACTTAATTTTCATTTCTTCCAATCCGTTTCCCTCCAGTTATTCGTTTTGGGTCCTATCTATGGTAAAGAGACTCGCGTCCCTGACCTGAAAAAGTACCATTCGCCGTACGTCGTCGCGCATATAAAACGAACCTTCTGGTCACTGATTCGTTCCTCGACCTGCGTGTACGGCCGAGACTTATTGTAAGCGAATTTTACGTTCTCCTGCAGGACATAACATGTGCTTCTATAATATTTACACCAGTGGGAAACTGTACTCGACAATTGTCGGACCTTACGTCGTTGTCTGATATAAGCGCATAAAGCGCAGGATAATAAATCATAGCGAGATGTGATTTGTATTATAATCTGTTAATGGAATTCCTATCCTCAACCGGAAAATAAAGATTCACGGGTCTTGTTCATGTTTGTTTTGTTTTGAAAATATTCAACATAACATAAAAGGTCTTAAAAGATAGCAACCTTTGACTTTGGGAGACTGACAGCTACCAACAGTACCATTTTTGGGTACAATAACAATATTTCTCTCTGTAGTCATCGTGCGCTCGGTATCGTGCCAGAGATATCGTTTCCGAACGGCATCTCTGAGTGTTATCTAGGAAAAGGGAGCGTAGAGCGTCGAGTAGCTTAGTGGTTTAGAGCAGTTGCCCGGCAAGTGAAAAATCCGGGTTTGAGTCCCGGTCTTGCAAATCGTGCTTCGGATATTTTTCTCTCTCTGGAATGAAAAGATACGCAGATCTTGAACGCATGGCGTCCCGCCACCACCTAGTACGTCTTCCTCTTTCCATTTTTATAAGAAAGAGACACAGGAGAGTAAATTCAGTAGTCAATTTAAATTGTAGGCTCATGCAATTAATATCGCCATCTATAAGCTTATTTCACTAATAAAAATCGACAATAAGTTTAAACACGGCTGTATTAAATAAATTTTAATTTGCAGTTCAAGCTCCGAGTAGAGTGCTCATTTACACTTACCGACAAAAATTTCTAGTATTGCAAATATTTATAATTTTGGTTTAGGGTATTGAAAATATTATTTTTATACAAACTTTAATAAAATTTTAATTAGATTTTAATGAAACTCATTCAAACTTTAATAAAAAGGTATAAAATTGAATTTTTAAACTTTTAATAATGTACCTTTTCCCTTTATATTAAAATGTAATTACCTTACCATCCTAAGCTAACGTTTTAATAATATTAACGTGCTGTGTTTACCGATAGAGAAAATTATTCTAATATTATATTCTCGTGTAAACAAATTTAAACTGAAATTATTAAAATATTATAAGAATATTTTATTAATAACACAGCTCCACAAAAAAAAATCGCCGGCACCCGAGACGAGAATAGGTGTCCTATATGTTTTTGGGGTCGCTGATCACGAATCTGCACTCAGAATTGCCGTATCGCATCAAAATTTTGAATAAATCGCAAAAAATCGTTCATAGGTTCATCGGTTTGGGGTTTATGGATTTGAGGTTTGGGGTTTATGGGTTTGGAGTTTATGGATTTGGGGTTTCTCTCCTGACTGCCTGCCCACCTGGTCACCTGCCAGCCTGTCTGTCTGCCTTCCCACCCACCGCCTGCTCGCCTGACTGTCTGTGTGCCTGCTTGCCCAAGGGGACTCACGCTAATCTAGCACCCCGAATCGTGAGAGGCGAGGGGACTCACGCTAATCTACGCCAAGTTGTACAAGTATGTATTTGTGAAATGGATCTAGCGTTACCCATCTTAAACCACGTGGAGGTACCATTTCTTTTAAGACTTACCCGAAATGTTCGGGGGCGCCTACGCCAGGTTATATAAGTATATATTTTTATTATTCTTTTTTGTAAAATCGAGTTATCTTCTTTTCAAATGATCTTCTAACGCCTTTTCTTTTATGTTCATTTATAGTATCACGATCCAAGCTCCAGCAGTAATCTGACATCATACGTTCGTTCCATACTCCCTGGTAACGCTGCTCCATGGTTTTCATATCTTGGTGGAACCTCTCACCCTGTTCTTCGCTTACATCTCCAAGATTCTTGGGAAAAAAATCGAGATGCGAATGTAGGAAATGTAATTTCAAATTCATTAAAGCTCCAATCTTTTCATAGTTCTTTACTAAATCTCCTACAATTTCTTTAAAGTTTGGATCTTTTACATTTCCTAGAAACTTTGTAACTACTGCTCTAAAGCTTTCCCATGCAACATTTTCTTCAGCAGACATGTGTTTTTGAAACTGTTGGTCTTTTAGTAAGGATCTAATCTGTGGCCCATCAAAGACACCTTCTTTTATTTTTGATTCAGAAAGTTTTGGAAATTTCACAGCAAGATATGTAAATGCATTACTTTCACGGCTTTTGAGCGCTTTAACAAATTGTTTTATCAGTCCTAATTTGATGTGTAATGGGGGTAGTAAGATCTTCGACGGTTCAACTAAAGTATCGTGTATTATATTTTTTGAACCAGGTACCAATGCTAATCGAGATGGCCAAACTGCTTGCCTATAATGTTTGTCGCGAGCTCTGCTATCCCATTCACACAAAAAACAGGAAAATTTAGTAAAACCACTCTGTTGACCTAAAAGTATTGTTATGATTTTTAAATCACCACATAATTGCCATTTGTGTTTTTCATACTCTAATTTTTGTAAAATAAACTTTAAAATTTCATACTCTTCCTTCAAAACAACCGAATGTGCTATAGGGATAGGAGCATAAAGATTACCGTTATGTAAGAGTACTGCTTTAAAACTTTTACAAGAAGAATCAAGAAACAGTCTCCAGTCAGCTGCTACGTAACGAATGCTACTGTTAAAAGCATTTATCAATCCTTCAACGTTATTGCAGTAAACCAGAGCATTTGCAGTAGAAAAGAATTTTCTAAAATGTTTATCTCTATTACGATAAAATGATATCTTGGTTTTTGGAGCCAAAACATGTTTTTCTTTCAACCTAGAAGCTAGAATTTCAGAGTTTTCCTTAGACAATCCTAAGTCTCGCACTAAATCGCTTAGCTCATGTTGAGTAAAACAGGAATTTGTTGTTGTATTTTCATCAGAATGGTTAGGTTCATCAGAATCATTACCTTCATCAGAATCATTACGTTCATCCTGTTCACATGTTTGATCAACTGAATCGTTAAGGTCTACATTATCTGATGAACCTTTATTAACAGAAACGTTCAATGTAACTGCAGGTGTTACTGATGATACATTAGGATATTGTATATAGTTTTTTTGAATGTTAGTGTACCTGTTTGTTTCTGTTAAACAGAAATAGCAATCTGCATCGTGATTTTCAGGTTCGTGCCAAATCGTGGGAGTAGAAAAACGTTGTCGTTTACCTTTGTGAAGAGAAGCAGCGCATGAAGAGCATACCCTATTTGGCGTCCAAGCATTGTTTGTATCTTCAGCAAATATGCCATAGCAAAAATGGTACTTTCTTTTCAAAGTGTCTGTTAAAGCTTTACCATTTTTGAAAATATAAATTCCACAAACAAAACAAAAAGAATTGGGACTTATTTTACAACTAGACATTTTTTAATATCTACTTTTAATTAAATTTTTTTCATAAAAATAAAACACACAGAAACTAATTTTGTATTTTTTTGTATTTGTTAGTTTTGTATTTGTTGTATATCTAATGAAAATGAGAAAATAGATAAACTAGATAAAAATAGATATATATCAAACCCATAAGCACAACTCCACAATCCAAAATTTATGCACTTCAAACTTATAAACCTCAAACTCATAAACCCTAAGCCTGTAAATCCTGAACTGATAAAACCCAAACCTATAGAACTTAAACTCATAAACCTCAAACCTATAGAACTTAAATCTGTAAATCTTAAACCCATAAACCCTAAACCGATTGAACCCAAATAAACCGGGTAATGGTGCCAAGAGTAGCAGTTAATGGAATCTACTCACTGCTATATTGAAGAAGAAGAAAAAGATTAATCCCAAACCTGTAGACCTAAAACACATTAATCTCAATTCTCGCCATAGGGTTATGTAAAAAAACTATTACTTTTATTTTACAATTTCAACCTTATTTATCTCTAAACCTATCCATGAAAAACCTTACTTCACAAATTATAAACTTCAAATAACAGAAGTAAAAAAAAATTTATGCAAAAAAACCAATCACATGAAGCAAACTAACTTTGAAGATTTAAACATAAAAATGCATTCTTTAGTAAATGTAAATTTATATGGTTTTTCATGGATAGGTTTAGAGATAAATAAGGTTGAAATTGTAAAATAAAAGTAATAGTTTTTTTACATAACCCTATGGCGAGAATTGAGATTAATGTGTTTTAGGTCTACAGGTTTGGGATTAATCTTTTTCTTCTTCTTCAATATAGCAGTGAGTAGATTCCATTAACTGCTACTCTTGGCACCATTACCCGGTTTATTTGGGTTCAATCGGTTTAGGGTTTATGGGTTTAAGATTTACAGATTTAAGTTCTATAGGTTTGAGGTTTATGAGTTTAAGTTCTATAGGTTTGGGTTTTATCAGTTCAGGATTTACAGGCTTAGGGTTTATGAGTTTGAGGTTTATAAGTTTGAAGTGCATAAATTTTGGATTGTGGAGTTGTGCTTATGGGTTTGATATATATCTATTTTTATCTAGTTTATCTATTTTCTCATTTTCATTAGATATACAACAAATACAAAACTAACAAATACAAAAAAATACAAAATTAGTTTCTGTGTGTTTTATTTTTATGAAAAAAATTTAATTAAAAGTAGATATTAAAAAATGTCTAGTTGTAAAATAAGTCCCAATTCTTTTTGTTTTGTTTGTGGAATTTATATTTTCAAAAATGGTAAAGCTTTAACAGACACTTTGAAAAGAAAGTACCATTTTTGCTATGGCATATTTGCTGAAGATACAAACAATGCTTGGACGCCAAATAGGGTATGCTCTTCATGCGCTGCTTCTCTTCACAAAGGTAAACGACAACGTTTTTCTACTCCCACGATTTGGCACGAACCTGAAAATCACGATGCAGATTGCTATTTCTGTTTAACAGAAACAAACAGGTACACTAACATTCAAAAAAACTATATACAATATCCTAATGTATCATCAGTAACACCTGCAGTTACATTGAACGTTTCTGTTAATAAAGGTTCATCAGATAATGTAGACCTTAACGATTCAGTTGATCAAACATGTGAACAGGATGAACGTAATGATTCTGATGAAGGTAATGATTCTGATGAACCTAACCATTCTGATGAAAATACAACAACAAATTCCTGTTTTACTCAACATGAGCTAAGCGATTTAGTGCGAGACTTAGGATTGTCTAAGGAAAACTCTGAAATTCTAGCTTCTAGGTTGAAAGAAAAACATGTTTTGGCTCCAAAAACCAAGATATCATTTTATCGTAATAGAGATAAACATTTTAGAAAATTCTTTTCTACTGCAAATGCTCTGGTTTACTGCAATAACGTTGAAGGATTGATAAATGCTTTTAACAGTAGCATTCGTTACGTAGCAGCTGACTGGAGACTGTTTCTTGATTCTTCTTGTAAAAGTTTTAAAGCAGTACTCTTACATAACGGTAATCTTTATGCTCCTATCCCTATAGCACATTCGGTTGTTTTGAAGGAAGAGTATGAAATTTTAAAGTTTATTTTACAAAAATTAGAGTATGAAAAACACAAATGGCAATTATGTGGTGATTTAAAAATCATAACAATACTTTTAGGTCAACAGAGTGGTTTTACTAAATTTTCCTGTTTTTTGTGTGAATGGGATAGCAGAGCTCGCGACAAACATTATAGGCAAGCAGTTTGGCCATCTCGATTAGCATTGGTACCTGGTTCAAAAAATATAATACACGATACTTTAGTTGAACCGTCGAAGATCTTACTACCCCCATTACACATCAAATTAGGACTGATAAAACAATTTGTTAAAGCGCTCAAAAGCCGTGAAAGTAATGCATTTACATATCTTGCTGTGAAATTTCCAAAACTTTCTGAATCAAAAATAAAAGAAGGTGTCTTTGATGGGCCACAGATTAGATCCTTACTAAAAGACCAACAGTTTCAAAAACACATGTCTGCTGAAGAAAATGTTGCATGGGAAAGCTTTAGAGCAGTAGTTACAAAGTTTCTAGGAAATGTAAAAGATCCAAACTTTAAAGAAATTGTAGGAGATTTAGTAAAGAACTATGAAAAGATTGGAGCTTTAATGAATTTGAAATTACATTTCCTACATTCGCATCTCGATTTTTTTCCCAAGAATCTTGGAGATGTAAGCGAAGAACAGGGTGAGAGGTTCCACCAAGATATGAAAACCATGGAGCAGCGTTACCAGGGAGTATGGAACGAACGTATGATGTCAGATTACTGCTGGAGCTTGGATCGTGATACTATAAATGAACATAAAAGAAAAGGCGTTAGAAGATCATTTGAAAAGAAGATAACTCGATTTTACAAAAAAGAATAATAAAAATATATACTTATATAACCTGGCGTAGGCGCCCCCGAACATTTCGGGTAAGTCTTAAAAGAAATGGTACCTCCACGTGGTTTAAGATGGGTAACGCTAGATCCATTTCACAAATACATACTTGTACAACTTGGCGTAGATTAGCGTGAGTCCCCTCGCCTCTCACGATTCGGGGTGCTAGATTAGCGTGAGTCCCCTTGGGCAAGCAGGCACACAGACAGTCAGGCGAGCAGGCGGTGGGTGGGAAGGCAGACAGACAGGCTGGCAGGTGACCAGGTGGGCAGGCAGTCAGGAGAGAAACCCCAAATCCATAAACTCCAAACCCATAAACCCCAAACCTCAAATCCATAAACCCCAAACCGATGAACCTATGAACGATTTTTTGCGATTTATTCAAAATTTTGATGCGATACGGCAATTCTGAGTGCAGATTCGTGATCAGCGACCCCAAAAACATATAGGACACCTATTCTCGTCTCGGGTGCCGGCGATTTTTTTTTGTGGAGCTGTGTAATCACATTGATGTTATGTGGGAAGCATATAATAATTTTAATAAATTTATCTATTATGGATACATGAAAAAGCGTAGTACCATGTAATAATTTAAAAGTAATATAATAATATGATTAAAAGTCAATCAATCTGAAACGGAAAATTACGCGTCACCGTTAGAGATGTAGAGATTTTAATAGATAAAGGAACACTTCTTACCTGGCTAACAATCGGTTCTCTTGTCATTCGTGGCTCTGTGAGATGAGGTTTACCGAAGTCATCTTTGCCCCATCCCACTACGTATCCAAATTTATTAACCACATTCTGAAGATTAGATGAACCGGTCCATAAACAGATGGGTCTGATTTTAGGACTGTACTCGACAAAGTCCTTTAGAACCAGGATTGCCAAGTCAGAATCGCCAGTATCCTGATGCGTGTAGTCAGGATGAAACATATAACTTATGATTTCCTGATTTATAGATCCCGTTTCTCGCCAGTTGCGCAGTCGGTAGCGACCTAAGGATGCTAACATTGCGCTAGGAGGTATGTTCACGTTGGTATAGATATCCACCTTTAAACAATGTGCCGCTACAAAAAAAAAAATAAATATATATATATATATATATATATATATATATATATATATATATATACAGTGTGTCTTATAAGTTCAGCAACGGCAAAAAAAACTCGGCGGGGGAGCATTTTAGAGAAAAATGTTTCAAATAAAAGTTGTAAGGCTTAAGAAGTCGCATTTAATGACAGTAGTTATTTGATCTAAGATGACGTCGCCAAGGTCAGGACAAGGTCAACTTCGCTTTTTTTAAACAAAAATACATTTACATACTTTTTATTACGGCATTTTATTCTACGTGAAAAAGCAAACAACTTTTGCTTGAAAAAATTTTTTATACGACCTCTATTTTCTAAGATATTTACGTAAATATCTACAAAATTATTGGTTTCAATAATTTTTTATTTGAATTCTATCAACTTTACCGAAAAATATCAAGAGATAAAAATTATTTATTTTGTTCTCATAGAGCTCTGAGAATTTTTCAGAATTTTATATTAATTTTTTAGTATTGCATTTTCTTGCATTTTCTTGAAGTACTAAAAAGTTAATACAAAATTCTGAAAAAATTCCCAGAGCTCTTTGAAAACAAAATAAGCAATTTTTATCTCTTAATATTTTTCGGTAAAATTGATAGAATTCAAGTAAAAAATTATTGAAACAAATAATTTTGTAGATATTTACGTAAATATCTTTGTTCCGTACGGGAGCTGTCGTCCGCACGGATAGCGGGCGGCGGGCGGCCGTGCGCCAGGCGCGTTCTGCGCGCGGGCGACTACCGCTCGCCGCGGCTTTACGCCGCCGCGCCGAGCCGGGGCCGTCGCTCGCAGTTAAATTTCGGTGCGGCGCCTATATAAGACGCCGCGGGCGCCGACTCTAGGAGTTCGGACTGCGTTAGCGCATCTGTTCACTGCCTCGCTGAGGTATTCTTTTGTATTCTAGTTAACTTCATATCGCCTTCTTGAGTGCGTAAGCACGTTGGGCTCTTGCCTCGCTCGAGGTATACGTGGGCATATCTGCACTGAACATCACTACCTTCAGAGTGTCACAGGCACGCTGGCATTCGGGTTCAGGTTTCGCAGCCCTTTAGAGTGCGCTTGCACGTTGAGCTATCGCTTCTAGAGTGTCCGAGGACACGTTGGCGTTTGGGTTACGAAGTGTATGGTAACTCCACGGATCTCCACCTTCTCAATACGATCGAGGATTGAGAGAAGGCTTCGCGCGATCACTTCGGATTGCCTTGACGCTTCCACCGCGGTGGACGTCTCTCTTCGCGACTTCTCCCGTATAGCATATACTGGGTATTAACGCCGCCGCTGAGCGGCGAAGAGCTTATTGCGGTCGAGCTCCCGACTCCGCGCGAGTCGTCGTTGTACTCAGGAACTCTGCTGCCAGGGACGCAGCATATACACGCGAGCAACGCTCGCCTTTACATCCGCTTAGGACTTAGCCGCTGCCAGGGACGCAGCATATACACGCGAGCCACGCTCGCCTTTACGTCCGCTTAGGACTTAGCCGCTGCCAGAGACGTAGCCTATGCATGCGAGCCACGCTCGCCTTGATGTCCATTTCGGACTTAGCCGCTGCCAGAGACGCAGCATATACAAGCGAATCACGTTCGCTTCTTCACCGTTACTGAAGCCATACTCGCCGCATACGCGACTACACGCGCGAGTTACCCTAGCGCCTAAGTCTACGTTGCCCGCGCGACGTTACGATTCTCATTATTCCTCCGACAAGGTGGACTTCTCCTAGCGTGGAGGCGCTGGGAAGCGGTGCATCACCGCAGGGCCGCCGTTTCGATTGACCTGGCTCGCTTTATTCAAGTCGGCGACCCACCAAAACACATAGCCGAAAACTCCCGTCTCAGAAGAACTTCGCGAATCACTTGCACCCCACGTCATCTCACGGGGCCGCTGGATAGCGGACTGCTCGCGACGAAGCCCGCGGTCTCCACGCGGCGAGCGGACACCTATCCGCATCTCGCACAACGAACCGGCCGCTCTCCACTCTCGGGCCGTTCGAAACAATCTTAGAAAATAAAGATCGTATAAAAAATTTTTTCAAGCAAAAGTTGTTTACTTTTTCACGTGAAATAAAATGCCGTAATAAAAAATATGTATTTCTATTTAAAAAAGCAAAGTTGACCTTGTCCTGACCTTGGCGACGTCGTCTTAGGTCAAATAACTACTGTCATTAAATGCGACTTTTTAAGCCTTACAATCTTTATTGGAAATATTTTTCTCTAAAATACTCCCCCGCCGAGTTATCTTGCCGTTCCGGTACTTTTTGGACACTCTGTGTGTATATACATACATATATATATATATATATATATATATATATATATATATATATATACAGGATGATTATAAATTATAAATTGAGCTAATCAATTGCGAATTTTTGTCCCGTTCTTTTGTTTATTGTTTTTTGAAGATTAAAATATATATGTGTAATTGAAATAAATTTAATTTTTCCACTTATATGTTGTGACGTGGCAGCCGTGGAGGCGCCCGTCTCAAGAAAGCCGTACCGAGATGGGGTGAGAGTTTTCACGTGTCGCGTCGCAAACTGTTTTCGCGTATATTCTCGAATACCGCGTTCCGGCGTGTGTTTGTTTGTGAACGTCCTTAGGACAAATATCGAAAGCGAATTTTGCGAGCTGAGCAGATGCGAAGGTCAACGCGCCCCTGACTTTGTGCCCCTCGGCTTCCCTTGCCGGCCACCAGGACTGGAGAAACGGAGAACATTGAGGAACGAGAAAGCAGCGACCGACAACTCCACACCGCTCAGGATCAGATGAATCGCTCTCTCACTATTTCGTATTAAATTATGCCGAATTATTGCTCGCTCAGTAATCGTGAATCTAATACTGCTTAGAATATTCCGGAGCGAGAGCACAGTATCGCACTTAGACAGTATTCTGTCAGCTGTGTTTACTTTTAGCGAACGCGGCCGTCGTGAGAAGCCCAGCAGAAAAAAACGGGAGCGCCGAGAAAGGCAGCGAGAGGATCCACGAGACAGGAACCGTCTCGAGACAATAATAGCGAAAAGTACCGATTCTCGACTGCCGAATATCGCAGGACGAGAGAAGAAGAGACGCAGGAGGACTCGCTAGACTGTGCGATCCTCCAAGAGCCGAAAGCCAGTCAGCCTTACCGCGACCGACGCCGCGAGCAAATTGCACACCGTTTCAAGCGTTAGATACCGCACGTGCTGAACGAGAGAGAGAGAGGGGGGAGAGAGAGAGAGGGAGAG